CCATCTGGATTTGTACCAGATGGTCAGGCCGTCCTCCAGGAGGCGGAAATGCCGCGGCTTCTTCCATGAACGGGACTTTACTTTCCTCAGAGTCGACCCCGCCATCATCACCTTGACATGTGGGTCATCTCGGATACCTGCACACAGTGATGTGACAAGTCACATGTCAAAACTGTCATACCTTGGACTCTGCACCATCAGAAGTGGCCATAGACAGGAATAGTAGGCACCTGTTTCACATGAATGATTGTAATGCTTCTGATTTAATAAGGATAAAAACTAATTGAAATGCTATGACATCAAAAATCTTTAAACAAATTGTAAAATCATCTCATTGTGCAGCTTCAGTCAGAATGAATAATATTTACTCACCAGAGCCTTCAGGATCCATCGCTAACATCGAATCATGCCAAAGGAAATTTGCTGCTAAAAAGAAACAGATGTTGGTGAGATGACATATTTGTCCGTTTCTGAACAAAAATAAATATTGCAGAAAACTTCTTTGCTCATCCAGCTGCTCACAGTATAATATCAATCTTCATTTGTGGTTTGCTGAGCATTGTCAACAGTAGCAGCCTTGATCATATTGTTAGTTACACACACTTCATATTCTCTCTTTTTGGCTCGTTCAATATATCATTGTAAGGAATCTTGATTGGAGTTGTTCAGGAAGGACACGAGTGCTTCATTGTGTCCAGAGAGGATTTCCATGCCGATCCAGGGAAGTGAAACCTCCATCCATCAGAATAACCTGTTGACTCTCACAAAATCATTTTGTCGGGTGGCAGATAGTGAGAAGAATTATGAAGATCCGGACACGGACCCTTGTGTTGTGAGTAAGTGCAGTGCTAAAGTGTGCCTGAGCAGAGTACTGAGTAGACACCAGCTACTCTGCAGTTTCTGACCCTGACGTCTGTGATACAGAACCTGAGCAAAAAGAAAAAACATCATGGAAGATGAAAAAGGGAGGGACACTAGCTCAATCTTTAAGTATTTAGTTGACTGGAGTATCAGCAGTGGTTGTTCTCTTATCCCGACGTCACTTTAAGGTTTAAGAGTCAGCATTTAAATCTGGATCCTGTCTCGCCATCAGTTTTCACTCATTCATTAGCAGAAAGCCCACTGAAAGGCCTGTCCTTGGTCTGTGTGCTGACATAGAAAAAATACACACACTCAGCAGTCTGTGCTTCTTACATCAGCCTGGTTAAACAGAAACCAGGAGCAGACAGATGATTATTTTAAGTTTTTATTTAACCACATCTGATTGGAGTGAAATCATTCTAAGATCCCAGATTTTTTTTATTATTAAGAATGAAAACCCCAAAACATGGAGCTGTTATCCAGTTTACTATACTCTTAACATTGTTACACACACACATGGGTTGAGCTGTGCCTTGGAAAACTGTCTTTTGTTTGTCTTCTTCTCTGGTGCGTTGGCCACATTGGTGCAGAATATATTTACCCCTGAAGTGGTTGGCTGACATGTCAATACCACTGAATAACAAATCTGATATAGAATGACTGTGTGAACTGCTGATTTAGGATCAGCCTGGAGGATGGCAGTTTTATGTTCATTGATCTTAAATCAAAGTTGCTTTCCTGGTTTTCCTACATGGACGCCACATTTGGTGCATGCAAGAAGGTAGACAACATTGCTGGAGAGTTTTGCAATAAGAGTATGCAGCACTATTGCAGCAAGGGAAAAAAACTGTGGCATAGCTCAGACGTCCAAGTTAGCAGAAACACTTGTGTCCACATTGGTTGTCTTTACTTATCCATCCTCTGATTAAGATTTCGGTTAAATACAAATACACACAAACTATGGTATCAAAAAATCTGCCACACATCACCATGTTAGCACTGGCATTGCCAGTATGTTGGCATTTAATCCAAAATACCTCCTCACAGAGCTGCTGGCATGACTGGCTGGCCAGCTTTATTAATGTTGCCTAAAACCACACATTCTATCTTAACACGTTCATTCAAGTGTCTCAAGTGTCTCATTAGAAGCAGAACTGATACACAATAAGACAGCTTATCAGGAGGGGCTGATAAACTTCTGTTATCTCTGTTGCTGGCCGATAAACCTGGATCAGACTCATCTGGAAATGGGATGGTTTTCTGAAGTCTGTTTATGTGTGTTCCTGTCCGACAGCTATCCTTTCCTTCCACTGTCTCCTGAAACAACAAGATCTAATCTGAAGGTCTCCATGTTTCACAGCCCCCTGTGCCAGCCCTCACTCCCCCCCACACCATAGTTCTCACCACAGCATGACTGAGGTGGTGCAAGGAATGTATTCGCAGTTGCCTCACAATGTAAAATCACACTCTGCACTGAGGAAACAGACTAACTGTGAAAGTGAGGCTTATTTTCCACAGCTAGTTGCTCCATAAATTAAAGTCTGCTTTTTATGTGTAGAGTTTTCTCTGCACAGCCACGTCAAAGACCAGATTTACTTTCCATCCCAGACTTTCAGTTTTTTCTGCTGGCAGTTCAACACAACCTCCTTCAGAATTCAGGTCCAGACATTTAAGCTCCAGTCAGGTCACATGGTGTTTTATTTTTGGGGCCATGGGTAAGAGTTTTGGACTGACTCTCATCACAAGTGAGTCACACTGGGCAACTTTTTTAAGGGAGTTGACTGACCACGCACAGACACACAAAGACATGACTCATGAGGATATGTGTCAGGAAGGAAACTGGGAGTAAACAAGTCAGTGATGAAGACTAACAACTTGTGGACTGTATGTTATGTGCATGTAGTATTTACTTTAGATTTAAATCACTGTTATCCCATATAATAATAATAATAATAATATGCCCTTTATGGTTTGGTGGGATTTGTATCCTGTGATTTACCCATCACCTTCCCCCTGCACACAGTTATGTGAAGAATTCAACAAACATGTGATAAGGCTCTGTCCGTCCAATTAAATCCACGTATAAGTCCAAATCCCAGAGGGGAGGGAGGCTTGTGCAGACTAAATTAGAACCAGATACAGTAATATGAGACATGAAAGCATCACTACAGCAAAGCCTGCATGCCACTGCAGCTAAAGAAAGGCAGAATGACAACAATTAGGATCTGTCTTTGGCAAGAAAAAAAATGATACTCACCAAAAGTAGAGATTTCACTGGGGATGTTATTAGTCAGCCCTTCAGAGCTACTCTCCCAGAAAGGGCCTCATACGGTGAAGGGTGAGATCCGGGGAGGTATGTACAGCACTTTGGATATTGAGGTCCAGATGAAGGAGAGTCCAGGGACTGTTAGCTGAGCTCAGGGCATAAGAAGACCGGGAGCGTCCAGAGGGGGAATCTGGCTCAGCCTCTCTCCTCCCCTCTATCCTCAGTCTTACTGCTGGGTCAGAGAAACCTGATTCCCTAGTCACTGCTGCCACACACTGGTAAGCTCCACTCCCACCACTCCTCCACCTCCTCCCCCCTCCCCACCAGCCTTCCTTCCTTTCCTGCCACTCCCTCACGCGCCATCTGCAGACCCTTCACTGCATCCAGTGAAGGTCGCTTCCCTCATCCTCAGCCTTTCCTCAATCTGTGCGTCCTCCTCTCAAATTCTCCGGGTGGTTGCGGGTGCTGTGCAGAACCTCACTCTCGTGTTTCTGTTTCAACACTGATAACAGGCAACACAATTCCGGGAAGACGTGAAGCCAAATTATAAAACATACAGAAATGTCATACCACATGAACAAAAACTCCCTCCCTGACTGAGGCCAAATCTCCGATAATATTGGAAGATAGCAAGAAACTGATAGATACTGGAGGAGCTGGCAGGACGCCACATGCTGCGGAGAGGAGCTCTGAGTCACACAGCAGTTTATATATTGTTTCAGATAAATATTTCTCAGCTGGATGTGAGAATGCAACGATTATTGTTTGGTTTGAATCTAACCTGCAAATAGATCCGACAATATGGACTTTCCACATTGTGAATCCTGTCAAACTAATGTACTCCTCCATTTGCAAGGCTCTCTGAACCAGACCCATTATGACTGCAGCTCTTGCCTCATAAACAGACCAAAAAAAATCACGATATGATCTTAGGAACAATGTCCCAGGGGCATCAGATTTGCTCTCAAATGGAGGGCTTGAGTGAAGGTGTTTCCGTGATGCCTGTCTCAGTCATTGTAAGGATAATGGAACCGATGGGGGCAACAATCTGTTAATGTACTGCTAAAAGGAAACGAGATCTCATGAGTGAATTCTGTGAGGCTGTTAGACGGAGCACTCAGAGAGCACAGGTGAGTATCTCTGGTATCTGAAGCCAACTTAAATATGGCTTCTGAACTTTCAGTGAATCATCCCCCACTTTCAAAAAAATCCTTTCGGTAAAGATGTTTTTCTCTTCCTTTGATTAAAAAGCATCACTGATCAAAATGTTTGTCGGACGTTCCATATTGTACCAAGTCACAAATATACTGTAGAGCTGTTGTGTTGACACTGAAATAGCAACGATGAATAATTTCAGACATTTCATCAGCTGAAAAAGACAAATATTATAGGATTCGTTGTTTTTTTTTCTTGAATTGTTTTAAAGTGGATAGCTTTGGCTTTTGGTCAGACAAAACAAGTTCTCACAGAAATTATGATGGGATTCATTCTGCACTAATTTAACCAATAGCAAAAAATAAAAAGTAGTTGCAAATCCTAATCAAACCTATAGTGGACTCAAACCAAGGCTGGGTGGGGTGTTTCTGCAGCGAGTTAAAATCTTCTCCTCGTGAACTTGTGGGGTTTTACAATCCACATCACATCAAGTCAGGTCTAAATTGCCCATAGCTGTGACTGCTCTGTGTTTGTGTCAGCCATGAAACAGACTGTTGACCGGATCAGGCCATACCCCACTTCCCCACAGCAAAAAGCAACAATGGATAACATTTCCTGTCACTGGTCCCACAAGATAAAAACTTTTTTCAAAATCATTCATCATTATGCCTTTGAGTATTTCCTCTTTTCACATGTCAATATTAGGTGACTAGTATTATTAGAGTGAAAAACTGTTTATTTATGAAAATGTTTGATCAGCTTCTGAGATTTCTTACTGTGCCACCAAATACAGTAACAGTAAAAACAAAGCACAGTGAAACACATTCACTGTTTGTAAACTGCTAGATATTACATCAGTCCAGAGGCTTTGGTGGCAAAAAAAGAAGCAAGTCTTATAGATTAAAAAGTATTTGCTAGTCACAGTGAAGTGAAAAGTTCAAAGTTGAGAGTGATATTTTAGGGTTGATATCACCAACATCTCACCAACGTAATCATATAAGTACAGACCTGAATGTTGACAGACATGCAGATATTCCAATCTACTGCAGCAAAACATGTTTCATAGGCTGCATTTTTACTACATTTTATTATTTATAATTCTCAGTGAAAATAACTGTTCCAAGAATTGTAATTTTTGTAATAGTTTTGTAAAGCTGCAAGATATCATACACAGTTATACCTTAATACAAATCAACCAATGTCTGAGGTCTCTTGCCAAACTTTTGTCACATTTATGTCAAACACAAATACTAGCCAATGTCAGTATCAGCTTTGAAAATCTATTTATGGATCTATATCTGCCAGGGTCTTAATAAGAAGCCTTTCAGGTGTGATAGCAGCCTCAAGTGGAGGTGATGACACACATTTGAAGATTTCCATCCATCCAAAAGCAAAATATCTTCCTCTTTTATTAAGTCCCTTTAGTTTGCAGACAGTGTTATCGCACCACATTTGGCCAAGCGCAAAATCTAGACTTTGAAACTTTTGTGCACAGTCCTTCTGTGTCCACTGTCGGCACGCACTTTGTCCATGTCACTGTGGGGCCAGCGGGATGCCTCTGGCATCAGTGACTTGACCTTCCTGCAGGTTCTTGACCAGTTGTGCAAGCCAGCGCTTGGTGGTGGTGTCGTCCTTCAGCACCTGAGCAAAGGTGCTGTCTTTCAGCTGGTCGGGCAAACACTGACGCAAGGCTTCTCTGGCTCTGGAACGGGGAACACAACATGTCAAAAACCAATGTGCTCTTCTGTCATCCTCTTACTATGACGCAGACAGCTCATTGAGTTGGTAGGTAACAGAGCACTCATAATTTGAAGCACAAACACTCGCTTTCCTTATATGCATTATTGATAATGTATTACTTTTAGGGATAGTAGCTATAATGGATCTTGGATATATTAACTATCACTATTAGGTTGATAAAATATGGAGTGAAAACTTATAATGTAACATGCAACAGGAAATTGGTAAGCAGGTAAATGCATCCAAAGCCTGTCTAGAGAGGCAGAGCTGTGGCTCTATGTTCCTCTATAAAAGGTCCAGTGTGTAAGATTCTGGTTTGATCCATAAGCAAAAATAGAGTATAAAATAATCACATCTTAATGATGTTTTCATCAGTGTTTAATGATCTGAATGTATAAAGAGTTTCGTTTTCATTAACCCATAATGAGCCATTTAAGCTAAATTTACATTATATTCTATGGAGTCTGCCATGTTGCACCATCATGTTTCTACAGCAGCCAACAATGGACAAACCATACACTGGCTATAAAGACCTTTTTAGTGTTTATGATGACTGAAGGTCACCATAGGTCCCCCCAAAACACTTGGACGGGGAGGGCACGAGATGTCAGTAAATCAGACAAACTGAACCTTCAAAATGACTGATCAGTCATCCAACAAATATTCTTCTGTAAATAGAATTCAAACATAGACAGATTCTGTTTTGTGACCCTCATAATCAACTACAGAGTTTCTAACTATATTCAGTCATGTTTGATTGGATACACTCCTCTGTAATTGTGGGCAGTTTTTCTCTCCTTCCTCATCTGAATAATTAATATTGATTTAGCCCTTAACCTCAATTTTATAAACTTATGAAACATATGTTTTATTTTGTTTCTGACCTCACAAAGTGCTCCTATGACCATCCATTACAGGGTTTCTGCGGGTTTCTGCAATCTAGTTAGATTTAAGACTTTTTAAGACCATAATAAATGAAAATTAAGACAAACTATGCATACCAGAAAAACATTTCTCTCTAAAGAACACACAAAAAAGAAAAAACCTAATTTGATACATCTATACCAAGCATATTTTAGACCAGAGGTCATAATATTTGAATATATTTAAGACTTTTAAAGGTCTTTAGATGATGTTTGGGTGATCACCTGCAGAGCTGCATCATTGAGATCAACTCTCATTTTGACAACAATTAAGTGGCCTGGTGAGTTTAAACCAGTTTTCAGCAGTGTTGTCTATACCTTTTATGGAGGTTGCAAAGCCCGGTAAAACTGGCCTCTAATCACAAAACCACTAGTGATTTAAATTGCCCTGTGTAGAGGAAATCAAAAAAAGCTAGCTGTTGTGCAGACTGGTATAATAGAACTGTCGTGTCTTATCCACACTTTGGTGCTCCTGTGTCCAAGACCTGGTAAATGTACATTTTTGATGGTGCAGCAAAATTTCAGCATTTGCATGGTAGCTAGCAGTTAGTTAGTTAGTATGGCTAGCATTATTAGCATAGTAGTGACGTGCTGTTTAGTCTGTAGACTATATAAAAACTGTGAGTAATTGTGATGTCTCTGGTTTAACAGCACTGAGGTTGGCAAGTGGGCAGGTGTGTGTTTTTTTCCCTTCAGGACACCATTAAAGAAAATAGCTGTTGCCAGTTATATTAATGTTAAAAGTGTGTGTATGTGTATATATATATATTCAACATTTAACTAACAGTCACCACTGAATATGAGGCATGACCCATAGCTCCTCCTAGTGGCAACTGCTAATGTTCTTAAAGTTCCATTCTCTCTCTAGTTCAAAGTTTCCAGGGTTGTGAGGGACTAAACGCCAAAATATTGCACATATTACCTTTCTGTCGAAAACCAAAGTTAAAGGAAACCACATAAAGTTAACTGTATCTGTTGAACACTGCTCTACCTGAGATTATCTGAGAGGCGAAGGTAGCAGCGAACAACATGCTTCAGCAGACGTGCTGATGGTTCTTTTGAGAGCTGCAACACCATTTTGCCCTGTGAAGACAAAGATGGAGATGACACAATGTCTTTTGTTATCGATGCAAAGTGTTCCCCTATGCAGAGTGACTACAAAAGGGAAATCTAATTTAATTCTGATGCTTCTAAAGGGGCACTTACAAGGATCATAGCCACATGGGAAAAACGTTCGTAAGTCTGACATATGTATGCCAGCCCTGTGTCATCCAAGAGAATCTTCTGAAGTATGAAAGTTGCAACCTGCAAAACAAAAAGTGAAGGATGGTGAGCTGTACAACCCTGCCAGGCACTGATACAAACACAGTATTCCATTTTCTAACTTTTCTAACTTAATTTAAGATTTAAACATTTGTTAAATTGGAACTATATAAGTGTACACAGTTCAATAAAAAGCAACAGAGTTGAATATGGTTTGCCTTATAGATAAGTGTCTGTAAAGCAGCTGTAATGCTTAAAATACCGTCTTGGATAGTTCACTGCCTGATTCCATAATACGGAGACACAGCGGGATGATTTCAGTGGTGAGGAGGAAGTTAATCACTTCTTGTTCATCTGTTTTCACCAAAGCACCTACAATATATACAGAGACATCTTGTTGAGAATCATGGAGACACTGGTGTAAATGATGCAAATTCATAAAGCAACAGCAGAGTTACCGATGACTCCAAGGCTGGTGAGTCGCAGGTACTCAAATGGCCGTGTTTTGCTCACAGTGTGCAGGAAGGGGTAAAGGAAAAGAGGAATGTGAGCAGCGAGAAAAGCTGACCTGGTGAGGAAGAAAGAATCAAAAGAACTTTAATTAATCTTAACTCAGACGACACAGTAAATGTGTAAACTGCAATATTACATTGGCTTTTTACTTGTGACTTTGCTGACACCCAGAGCAATAAGGACTGTATCAAGTCTCTTAATATTAAAAACCAAATCATTTCATGAGAAACCAGGATTAAAGCCCGAGCTTGTGTTTTGTGGACTTAAACAGTTCACCCACCCCTCCATCAGGATAATTTTAGGGGGAAATGTGGTTGAGAATTTGGAGGAAGGTAAAAACAAAAGAAAAGAATTTTCCAGGCAAAAGTTTAACTCATTCTAACAGCTTCATTTAACTTTATCTATTTATTCATTTACATAAAGAAAAAATAATAATTAATGAAACCAATATATCATAAAGCATCACTTCACTTACAGATCAACATATGAAGTTTCATGAAAAAAAACCAAACACATTTCAAAATGATTATCAAGATCTGCTCCAAAAACGAAATATTTCCAGATGCTTCCATTTTCAGACATTTCAGCAAGTTCAGAAATCATTCTGTTGATGTAGAGGAAGAAAATCCTTCTGTTCTGTACATGACGTGATCGAAGTTAAATCTTTTTGTATAGAAATCATTTGCAATTTTCCCTTGTGTCATTACCGTGTTTCAGGGTGCGAGGCGACACACTGCAGAAGTGCCAGGGCATTGCACACTCGGTTAGACTGGTGAGCCGTCAGCGTGGGTGGATTTATAGATGGATAGATGTTCACAATCTCCTGATAAAAACAAAATCAGATGAGGGAAAAAAATATCAGTTCAACCTATAATTGAGGCCACAACGATATTACAAACTAATCAATGGGACGTGGTTCATACCTGCAACAGAGCAGCAATGGTGCCACAGGAGTGCCAGAGCATCGGAGCCAGGTCTGGCACCGATTCACGTTTCTTGCTCAGCTCCAGCAAAGCGTTCTCTCTGGTCTCTGGACTGGAGAGCTCATTGATCCACTGGTAGATCTTCTCCCGGTCCACCTGGGCAAGAGCTGTCACATTAGTCACAGCCTGTAAAACAAAGGGTCAACGCATTCATCGTTACCAGCCAATTAAATCTTAATCATAATGAGAGACCTTATTACAGAGTGGAAACACGAGGCGGAATAAAACAAGGACACGTTTTACACGCAGGTGCAGATGAGTACGATGGTTTTAACAACTTGAAACCAACTTAAAGAGAAATAAAAGGGGGACGTGCATGTTTTGATGTTGCTCCCGCTACAGTGCGTTAGGCTGATTTAAGATACTCACTGCTCCAGTCGCCAGCATCGTCTGAAGCTCTTAGGTCTCCGATGTGTGCGGGAAAAACTAATATATCACCTGCAGCGTAGCGGCAAAATCAAATCCAGATACAATTAATTAAACAAAGTTGGCGTGATTAACACAGCACGGCAGCTAACCTAAGCTAACACGAGCTAGCTGCTAAACGTCTTGACAAATGAGCTAGGAGCGTGCGTCGAAACTCCAAGCAACATATCTTCGTTTAGCTCCGAGAATAAAAGGTTAACATCCTCGTTCATGTGTGTCGCGTGACCCCCTCGAGCTCCAATTCAGAGATATTAAGTGAAGAACTAAACGCGCTAACGACTTTTTGTTCGGCAATGGTGGCAGCCTTAATACAAACGTTCGAAGGTGTCGCGAGAGTTGGGCGCGACGTACTCTCGGTTTGCATTTCCGTGGTAAATTTTCACATTCCCGCCATCATCGCGCAGCGCTGCGAGGCGTCGTGTGCGGGTCCACTGTCAACAACACACGCACTGGGGGAGCAGGTGAATGCCGGCAAAACAAACTTTCTGCTCTCGGAGGACCTACGAAGCCCCTGTCGCGATTTAAACGTTTCAGGAACCGCACACATCATCGACAGGTAAAGACATTTGGCGATAAAATCAAACTGCGATACCGTTTCATCACCAAATTACATGCAGGCGAATTAGCCAGTTAGCTAGCTCCCGCTAGCCTGCTAGCCGACTTGCTAATGTCGGCCTCCTCCATCCATTCAGCGCCTGTAGAGGAGGGGACGACATTACCTGCATCCCAGAGTGTCACCCATCTTCATAACTTTGCTGGATTTGCACATGTCCGTGGCTGTGCTGCTTTGGGCTGAAAGAAGTCATCGGTAGATACAACTTATAAACGCTGGTTGTTGTGTGTTGTGTCCACTCGCTCTTCTTTGCTGCCGCGATACAGATAAGACCATTCTGGCTAATTTGATGGCTAATGCAAACACAGGCTACACGGGCTTGTGAATGGCACCGTTAGCCAGCTAACAAGCGCAGTGTGACCCGCTCCATTCTGCAAATGTGTCCACCGTTTATTTCTCAGAGCGGTTCTTCCTGTGCGTGTGTTACAACGAGCTATGCACCGTTAGCTGTCGTTTGGCTGTGTGTTGTGATTTTTACACTAGCGATGCTTTGGTCAGCATGTGCTACACACTTCTGTGTAATTGTTGTGTCGGTTTAGTAACTGGTAAGTAAACTCTGAAATGTTGTGTAACACCCCTGTTAACGTCAGTGTTAACAAATCTTGCTTGCACTCGATTGTGTGTTAACCGAGTAACATGTTTGCTAATAACTTCTGATCAGTTTGCTTTCATTTAGCTTGTCAGCGCGCTGTTATGTCAACTGTCTATGGAGCAATAACAGTTCATGACAGAGAGTTTTGTTCATAGACTTAAGCTATTTAGTAATTTTAGTGTAACGGTGATCAGACACACCTTATCAAAGCACATGAGTTATAGTCCTCTATACAAGCTTAGCATTGAAGTTTATATTGGCGCTGTTAATAAGATTTTTCTTGTTCAGGATTTGTTTGGTCACAAGTCCCAGCCTTCAAAGTGCACCAACTGGATAGTAAGCCATGGCAACCATAGTGCCCAAACTCTCCAGCGGTGGTGCGGTTAAGATCCGCTTCTCTAGCATGGACCTGGGCACCACCAGATGGAAAGAAGGAACCTTCGAGATACTGGAAAAGGACAACAAAGTCAACCTCTGCCTTAGGTTCAACTGTGGTGGCGCCTCCAAAACGTTCCAGGTATTATTCAGTTTGTTTCGTCTGTACTTATTCAATTGCAATTCAACCGTAAAGGCATTGCTTTGGTCTCGGAAGCGGTATATTTTGTGCCATTTTTCAATGTACTATTTTTTTTTTTAACTCTTTTTTTGGAATTTCACACGTAGAATTAGATCAGACTAGTCATGGATTGTTGATGTGTGTCGTTAATGGGGAAAAGACATAGCAGTTGTTGGCTTCTACAACGGGCAGTAAGATACCACTTAATTATCTGCCCGTTGCTTTGCCCTTTATTATTTTGTCACTTTCAATGGTTTCAAAGACATTTGCAGTAGCAATACTGTAACATGGACAGACATGATTCCTATGTTAGGAACATACAACAGTGATGCTCCACTCATCATGAGCTGGTTGTGCACTAACCAGAAGGTCCGTGGTTCGATCCCCAACTCCTCCTGTCAACATGTTAAAGACACTGAACAGTGTGTCAATGCTGTGTGTTAAGCTGCTTTCAGAAATGCACTGAATTCTGAAGATCCTCTGCAGTTTCGATGTTAGGACTCTATGTAGCATCACAAATGTCCAAGTGAGAGCCTCAGTAGATTCTGCAGACTTTCTCCAGTCAGCCCCCCCAATATAAAGTCAGCAGAAAGTCTTGAGGAGCTGATGTGAGAACACAGCAGGAGATCATCTACTGGATTCACAGCGAGTGGGGGATTGATGACGCCACTAACACGCGACAGGTGTAAATAAAAATTTTTTAAAAACAATATCTCAAGATGAAAAAGCAGATGTCAAGAAAGTATATGTTTTATTTCCCAAATGTAATTAGCCTTAGAGTAATATATATTAGGCTTTTTTTCACTGAAGAGCTTTGGCAGGTCACAGCAGATAAAGCTGCTTGTGGACAGTCGGCCAGAAAGAGGATTTCACTCAGACATTTAAGTTCACATGTACACCTCCTTTGGAGAAATGTGGAGGATCTCCGGAGTTCAGTGCATCTCCGAAAGCAGAGTTCAAGTTCAATGGGAACCAATCATCAAAGTACTGTAGAAATTCAGACTAAATCTTAATGAGCTGTAGGCAGGTTAGTCATGCTTCCTGGTGAGATGGAAGGAGAGAGGGCACCCTAACATGAGCAAACCCACTCACTCACAAGCTATGGGGTCATGTGTAAGAATTTAAATGTAAGCGCAAGTTGTTTTGTTTTCCTTTCAGCTGAACCAGAACGTGAAGAACATCAACCAGAATCTGAGTCGAATCATGTTGACATTGAAGGACAACAGCGTCATCGTGCTGGATAAGATGCCTCCGACGTTGGTTCAGAAGACTAAAGAATACCTGGAAAAGCTGAAGCAGGGAAAACCAAGTAATTGTACCACTTCTTATTTTGAACAATTTCATATTGATAACTATAGTTTATAATTTTACTTAAGTTAATATAGAACTTTAAAGATGTGTCTTTTTTTCCAACAGCTGACATCTCTTCAGCCACTTATTTGGATGTGAAGCATCATAGCCAATTTATTGGGTTATATTAAATTAATTGCATTACTTAGTGACTTGAACAAAGCCTCAGCTAAACAATTGGCTGTTCCCATTCAAGTAATTGTAATGTTGTATTTCATTGTGATGTATTTCCACAATGTCCTGTATATTTTGATGTTGCTAGTTTTTCCTGTTCCTTCTACTCTTGACTATATGAAGTTAGAGAATATAGTAGGTGACTTCCCTTATTTCTTGTCACGCAGGATGTTCCCACCCCAGATATGATAGTACTCTGGTTCCAGTGGTATTACATATGACTTATGAAAATAGTAATACATATGTAATTTGTTTTAAAATTCACTGATATTGTTGGTTGACAATTTAATAATTACAGCTCAAACCGCCAATTATATCAAAATTACAGCAATTCAATTAAATTTAATCAGTTTCTCTTGCTACAGCTATAGTCTGTGCTAGTAAAAAGCAAAAATATTATGTGGTTTTGCCAGGAGGAGATTGATAATCCTAGACTGAAATGTTCAGAGAAAAATGTAATTTCTTTGCCCTGACCGATTTTTCTTCTTCTTAATTTTGTAGTTTTAAAGTCATCCCACGGAAGTGCAAACTTCAGTGTGCTTGGGAACCGCTCTGTGAAAAATGATGCCAATCCATCAGGAGAGAGACAGGTAAGCAACAACACTAAACTGTATTTTCATTTAAACATTCAGATAAGCTTAGTTTAACTTAGATATCCTAATTTCTCATATGTTCCAGACAACACCAAGGCGGCAGAGTGCAGAAACCCGAGATGAGACAACACCGCGGAAGCCTCTTGGCAGTCCAAGCAGAGCAGCCTCCACTCCCACTCGTACTGGACTCTCTGAGAACAGGTATGATGGTATGATACCAGAGGTAAACCTGATCTTGTTAAACAGGATTTGATGTAATAATGCTTCACATTCATTTATTCAAAGGTAATAAGTTTATCCCAAATTCTATTTGATTTAATATCAGATAACTCTTAACATAACTAGTGTGGTGTTGATGAAATAGAAACAGACATATTAAAATATATATATATATTTCTTTGTTTTGCTTATGTTTGTTGTTTTATCATTTATCTGTGGCATTACACCTGACACCACATAAAGTCAAATCACAATATAATTTCTACCCAGTTCAGAAAGAAGTTCAGAAGTTCAGTTCACTCTTGTCACAGATATTGTTCTCACTCTTGTCTCTTAGGAGTGAGAAGAGAAAGAGACTCCTTAATTCTGAAAGTGACCTGACCGAGGACTACCCCAAGGAAAATGACTCTTCAAGGTAAAATAAAACACCTCACTGCCCAAACTGAACTTTAGTGGTGTTACCTGACTTATGCATCTTTTTTTCTTGCTAATGTGATGATAAGACATATACCAGAAAGTTGATCTGTTTTCAGACATGCACTGGACTCTGCAGTTCCTCTGCATTTTCTCTGGAGTAGACGCATGTGTGAACGCAATTGTCAGAGAAAGATGCTCTGCCGTTTCTGCGGACTTAATCCAACTGACCTAGTATAGTAGTTGATGTGTGAACACAGCAGGGGATCCTCGCTTGATTCACCGCAAGTGAGTGGGGGTGTGTGATGCTTCTACTGTGCGAGAGATGCAAAAAACGAATATCTCCCAGTGAAAAAGCGTCATCTTACACATAGATGACACAGGCGAAGATGCCAAGAGGGTTCGTGGTGATAAGAGCCGACAACAGTGTTGTGGTGCTGTAAACATGATCTTGGCAGCAGAGTTACTGCGTCACTTCCTGCCTCTGTCTGCTGCACCTGGCTGCTCCTCCCCTCATCTGAATAATGCGGGGGATTTGATGCTGTTGTGAACGTGTCTGTGCAGAGAACCTCGCGCTGCGTTGTGCATGTGTGAAAGGTAAACTCTGTTCTCTGGATTTTACCCAGAGGTCATGTCTGAAAACAGCTTTAGTTATGCATTGCTTTTACTGGAAAAAAGATAGAACCTCATTGTTGATAAATGTGTCGACAAAAACGTAATTTTTTTCTTCACAAGTTCATTTTAAATCTTCTGTTTTCACAGTCAAATGATCAAAAATATTTCTACATTTTCTCAGCAACAACAAGGCCACTTCAGACCCATCCAGGAAGTTTTTACTGAGCTGCAAAGAAAAGCTGAAGCAGGGAGAAGAGAACAGGAACTCAGGTAAACTTCTTTGTCCACAGCTCAGTGGCAGCACCATCTAGTGAATATTCTTTAATTATCTCCATCAAGGTCTTTATGTTTGTTTGTTTTTTTGTCAGCAGGATTATGCAAAAATTACTAAGCCGTTTTCTCCAAACTTGGATTGGGCATGTGCTGCGCAATAATCCATTCAAATTTGGCGTGAATCCAGTTCAGGAATTTTTTTATCACCTTGCTTAATATTTGGAAAGAGGGTAGTTTTCAACATTTTTGTAAATTTCTCCAGAAATAATTTGTGAATATTAATGTAAGAAATTGGACACATTTATGATGTGTAGATCATTCCAGTTACCTCAATTTCACCTCTAAAAATGATGTGGCTTTGCAGTTTTGACTTAGTTTTTCAGTTGTGTTTGTTGTTGTTGAATTTATCTACATAACCTCAAGAGATTTACAACACTTGTCTAACAACCTTGTTCAAATTTGAGGCCTTAAACAGTCTTTCTTATCATCAAACTTTTTTTCATTCTGCTCAGCTCCACTGGGTTCAACTCCCCTTCAGCCATCTTCGTTCTACGGCAGCCGATCTGTGACAAAAGACTACAGCCAGAGCCACTCTTTTCTGGACAGGTAGATTCCCTTAGTGGTCAGCTAAAATAAAGAAGTCAGCAAGTTCTAAGTCGGGCATTGACACTTCCTCTGTTTGAAATTCTTCTCAGACCCTCCAGTACTGCACAGACCACCACAGCCAAGAGAAGCCTTATTCTGCCCAACCACTCCACACCCTTCAAGAAGGTGCGTCCCTCTCTGGACTATGGCGGCTGGTACAAGCAGAGGCCCTCCACTCTGGCACAGCCTCAGCCTCCACTGCAAGGGTAAGAACCAGCCAGATAGGCTCTGTTAAATGTAAAGAGAGAATAGATTGAAAACACTTAATACCGTGAAAAATAAAAAAAAAGTAGCACGGATAAGAAGCTGATTTAGCTCAAAGACGAGACAAAATCTGTCTCCAAAAGTCAGTTTTGTGGTTGTGATTTATGCGATTTACCTTTACACAGTTGGATAATGATACTAAACATTAATATGACATTGTGAATACCAGGTGTATGTTGTCCAAGTGCTTCTTTTTTCAAATTTGCTTATACTCTTTTTAAGATGCTATTTAACAAACAATTTATAACCTGTATATTGCAGTTTTTCCAACCTGGGCAACACTTGTTACATGAACGCCATCCTTCAGTCTCTCTTCAGCCTCCCCTCCTTCTCCAATGACATGCTAAGGCAGAGCATCCCTTGGAAAAAAGTGCCCATCAATGCATTACTCAGGTACTATAATAAGCTCCTTTACCATCTATAGATAGTTGCAGATTGTGTGTTTAGAAATAAAATTGAAAGGTTATGTGCATTGTCACGAATTCTGCTTGTTGTCTACTCTCCCTGCAGGCGTTTTGCTCACCTCATGGTAAAGAAGGATGTGGGCTGTCCAGAGACAAAAAAGGACCTTTTGAGGAAAGTGAAGAGTGCCATCTCCTCCACCGCTGAGCGGTTCTCTGGGAACATGCAGAACGTAAGATCTCCCTCTATAGCCAGCAGTTGGTACTTAACAAGACAACTTAATAGATTAAAAAGATTGTGGTTACAATGGATGTCATAACACATTTTTCAGCAGAAAAATAACTTTATTTGTGGAGTTCTCTCTGCTTCTTTGCTAAGTTCTCAAAGGTGATGGCATATGTCTGTAAATGGTCTTTAAAATGAATGTAAATATGACTATTATAAAGCAAAATAATTCATATGTAACTTAGCATATTTTATTTATTTGTTGGTCTAATTAAGTCCCTCTGTGTCACAATGTTTGTCAGGATGCTCATGAGTTCCTGAGCCAGTGTTTGGACCAGCTGAAGGACGATGTTGAGAAGATGAACAAGAGCTGGACAAATGAAGCTTCAGCTTCCTCATCGTCCTCCGTGGTGTGTGAGAGTGGTCTGGAGGCAGCGGCGGCCAAGACAGAACCTGGTGAAGAGGTAGAGACCTCTCGCATCTATACCTGTCCTGTGGCAGTTAACATGGAATTTGAGGTGCAGCACACCATCACCTGCAAAGGGTGAGGCCCGTCTCCTGCTTGATCATCACGCTTTATCTTTGTGATTAATTTGTCGAAGCCATTATGGGCTTTGGAGAAAATAAATGGTATGTTATAACTTCTATGTTGTTTTACAGCTGTGGTGAGGTGGTGAACAAGCGAGAGCAGTTCAATGACCTGTCCATTGACCTGCCACGCAGGAAGAAAACCCTCCCACTCCGGTCAATCCAGGATTCTCTGGATCTCTTCTTTAGGGTGAGTCTTTTGTTTGTACAGGTTGAAGTTCTCAGATTAGACCAGTTTCTTTCACAGATTCGTTTTTTATCCAGTTATCCCAGCTTTTTTTATTCCTTTAGCAAATAACTGCACTTGCATGAAAGAAGCAGCCATCAACTGCATATGTTATGTTTGACCATTACGTGACATCATTTTTTTTGTTTTGCAGATGGAGGAAATTGAGTACTCATGTGAAAAGTGCAATGGCAAAGCAGCAACAGTTACACATAAATTCAGCAAACTGCCCAGGTATCAACACACTGACTATTAGTATGAAATAAACATGCACATTGACATGCTGTCACACACTCATAAATTCAACACACTTAAGAGTTAAACAGAACCCTAATTTTGGTAGCTTCTTGACGGATTGGTCTGATGAATCTTTCTCCCCACAGAGTGCTCATCCTCCACCTTAAACGGTACAGCTTTAATGCTCAGCTGTCACTCAACAGTAAGCTGGGTCAGCAGGTGGTAATTCCCAGATACCTGACCCTGCTGTCCCACTGCACCGAATCCACACGACCCCCTGTTTGTCTCGGATGGAGTCCCCAAGCCTCCATGTAAGATACCCAAAAGATTTTGTAGTAAAATAAGAATTTCCAACATTTCACTGTCTGGGTAAATACATTCTGCTCAGTTGGCTGAGAGATGATGGTTAATTAATTTGCAGCAAATAATCAGGCTTCCGGAGTTTTCTAATGGCTTGTTTTTCCTCAAAGGTCCAGAACACTCAAAATATCACAGTCAGTAAACTCTTCCACAGCACTTCTCCGGTAAGTACATTTTGAAATAATAATGACAAACACAAAAATACATAATTTCTACTTTTGGTAAAATGAAACACTGAACTTGTGTCTGTATGTAGAAGGATTGGAGGGAAAGTGGCAAACTCCAGCTGCACCTCTATTATCGTGGACTCTGACTGTGAAGAGGAGCCTACCCGAAGGGTGAACGCAAGTCGCAAGCGACGCCTCAGCAGCTGTTCACCTGATGATGACGACCGACCGGAAGAGGTAAGCATTTGCTTACCCTGACATTTCAGATTCACCCTCCCAATTTCCTCTGTTGCTCTGGTGACACAGTTTGATGTGTTTTCAGCGTGGGGCGGCAATAGATTCAGCAGACTTCAGTGGCATAAATGATGACGAAATGCTGGCAGCAGTGCTGGAGATGAGTCGTCAAGAAGCTGGCCTCTCTGCACCCCCTCCCATGGATGATGAGCCAACCAGCAGCCCAGACACAGGGTTTGGCGACACAGATGTCCATGACCTGGCCTATCATACAGATCTGCTGGAAACAGAGAGCAAACAGTCTGCAGGTAGTCCATCATCTTGAGGTTAAGATGGTGAATGAATAGTGTTTCTTCAGGGAACAGCCAGGTTTTATTTGTTCTTAAAATTTGAAAAACAGCTTTAGAGAAGAGGGATCGTATAAAAGAAAAGTCCAATCCATCAATAGCCTTCCTAGTACACACTGCTTGAAATCAAAACTTTCACAAAAAATAGTTTAATGACTATATGGCTGCAGTGTGGAGATAGCTCTGCTAGTATTGTAGTAGTAGTAATTAACTGGCTTGTTGAATGTGTGTAGATGTGCTGGATTCCTTGGATTTGACCATGGATGAGAACAAGGAGAACCAGACTCCAGAGGGTGTGCAGCAGCAGGGTGAGCTGGACTGGGTTCAGCAGTACAGTCTGGACCAGGAGAGGGAGGAACAGGAGCTGCAGCAGGCTCTGGCCCAGAGCCTTCAGGAACATGTAAGTTCAAAGAAAAATGTGACAGCTGCTGAATTTCTATCAAGCGATTGAACATATAATGTTTGTAACAGATGGTTGGCAAATAAAAACTTAAATTATTTAAACTTTAATTTATTTTATTTCACAATTTTAATAATAATGTTCTCCATCCATTGTACGTTGGGGTTATTGTGTCATAATCTTTTAATAATGATCTTCAAAATGTAATAGATCTTATTGAAGTATGTACCTGGCAAGTGGCCATAAAATACAAAGAGACTTAATCTGAGTAAACATGAAAGCCTCAATTCAATCACAGCACACATTATCTCAAGGCACTATATATACTAAAGATGAGGCATTGCAATATTATAGAGAGAACAGAGAAGCTCATTGTTGTGTGTAAGCACTTGGAGTAACGCAATGCCCTGTCCCCACCTCACCTCACACAGGAGGCTCAAGAGATGAGAGAGGATGACGATCTGAAGAGAGCCACTGAGCTCAGCTTACAAGGTATGGACCAAACTTGTTTGCTTTGAGCAGCTGGCTGTTGAAAATCCTGAGCCCCTGACACTTACTCAAAAGCAAATACTTGCTTGTTGGTCAGTGAGCATCTTTGGCAGACCATTGGTATTTGTAGTGGTGGAGGCAGCCAGTGTGAAATAAATCTCACATGTTCAGCAGTTTCTTCAAGCGTTTCCTGTTGACCTTTACTGTTTTCACTTTCTGAAGACCAAAACTTAAATACTACAGTTCCTGTTGCAGTATTTATCAGACATGTTCTATGTTCTCTATAAAAATTGTTTGATCAGACTCACTGTGTTATGAATGCTGGCCACACCTGAATCAATATCCTGACCCAACAGAGTTTAACAACTCCCTGCCTGAGCTGCTGTGCTCAGATGATGACTCTGGTAATGAGGACGTGCTGGACATGGAGTACACTGAAGCAGAGGCTGAAACCCTGAAGAGGAACGCTGAGGTACTTAACATCCTGCTGCCAAACAGTCTGCCTTCTGATTTTAACAAGGGGAATGATCTCTATCATGAATAAACTGCAGAGTCTGCTCTCACTTAATTTCCACAATGAATTGAGATTCTGTNAAGCTCTTCTTGCACATTTTGAGTTGCAAATATTAAACATAGTAGCAGTGACATTTTTTCCTATAATGTGTAAAAGATTAAACCACTTTTTCGTGAATTTTCCAAACTGTATTTGAGTGGGTTTTAAAATTAATAATTCAGGCGAATAGATTCAAGAATATTGTAAATGTGAAGATGGACACAAGTTGGAACAGACTGTCCTGACTAACCTTTTCTTTTGTATGACCTTGTGTCTGTAGATGCTTATACATGAAACTCTGCTAAGCCCATGAACTGAAATATAACAGGCCAAATACGTCTGGTGAGGAGGAGCCTGCTGAGGTTTAAAAGAGTGTCGGACACTTCCGTGACAGAGTAGAAACACTCAGAGGACTAATGATAGTGTTGGTTAAGATCTCTTTATTTTCCTCTGTTTGAGTCAGTGATTGTTGTTTTATTTATTCTACCAGAATAATAAAATCTGCAGTGTGTTTACTTTTTGAGATTCAAGTATATGTAGTTGACAACCAGGAAGTCTTAACAGAAATGCAGTCAGGAAAGAAAATTAGGAAAAAGAAGGTTGGGGGAGGTGAGCCAAACATCAAAGCTTATTGTATGAGCCTCTGCTAAATACATTGCAAACAACCATAATAACTAGAAAATGATCAACCAAAGCTTGTTTTACATCAAAATAATCTTGAATGTTGTGTTTTTATTCAAGTCATTTTATATCTTATCTTTTAAGAGAGCACAATGGTTAACATTTGCATCCTTGTGTAAGTAGACATTTTACTTAGTAGAACGTATTGCACACATTGAATCATCTCTACCCCAAACTCCTTAACAGCTGCGTCATAAGTGAGGCATGAACCAATATTTATCAGAAGTTATTTTCTCTACAGTTGAAGTATACCATTGTAGTGTGCCAAAGTGGTCAGTCACCTCATGAAGACATACAGACAGCTGTGTTGAAAGGGAACACCACAGCCTCAGTACATCATATGATAATGTGTTCGTCTTTCTCAAAAATATATTGGAACACAAATGCACCACAGTGTTCACACAGATAACCTGTTCTGTGGCATGTTTTTTCTACAAAGCAGAGACTGCTGTTAATGAATCCTTCCTGGTTGTAACATCCTGTAGCCTATTGTATACAGGATACAGTTACACCCATGTCCCTCAATCGTGATTTTCTGTTACAGGGGTCACATTAGCTGTGCCAAATAAATAAACAAAAGATCTTAGATTGTTACCCTTGCATCATGTAAATCATCACTTTTTTTTTTAATGAACAATTTGACATAAATTTTATGATATGATTATCACGGTAAGAACTCCTGAAAGGTCCAGTGTGTAAGATTTAGGTGAAAGGGATCTATTGGAACCAATGTTTTCACTAGTGTGTTTCATCTATATTGTACGTATTGTTGTTTTCTTTACCCTAAAATGGGCCCTTTGTATTTATATACTTTATATTTTCATCAGGAGTGGATCCACTCTACAGAGGTCGCCATATTTTTTTTACAATCGTCCAAACTGGACATACTAAACCTTTTGAGTTTTTATGACAACTGAAGGCTACCACAGGTTCTCTGTCATGTTTAGAAGGGGAGGGTGAAGTGAGGGGTGTTCAATTGCAATATACAACTTCACCACTAGATGTCACTACATTCTACACAGTGAACCTTTGAACTTGGCCTTAAAGTTTTGCCAAAGAGTTGTTAAATGTGTTACAGTGATGCACTGGTTTTCAAACTTCACTTGAGTTAGTGCTTCTGCTGACCTTTATTGTGGGCCAGGATTCCTTTTGGATAAGCCAGTCAGCACTGGCGTTGGCAACCAGTTCTTTTATTCTAACTTTAGAGCCCTGTTAGGATTCCTATTAATTATACTTATACTGTCACCTCTCTGAACACTTGGAGAACCGAGCACACTAGCCAGTAAGTAGCGTCAGGAGAGTACTTGAATTCCTGCAATGGTTTTGAGCTTATATTAAGCCAATTGTCATTCCATAACAGTGAGTGGCTCACTGTTACAAGTGTCTGTTAAATCCTAACATAATCCCAGGCAGCGTTGTCTGAGTGGTTTCAGGTTTACATTATTTTAGGTGATTTGTGTTGTCTAAATTTACAGACCATTCCAATCCATCCAGGCCTATTCTTTCATGAGAACTATGCTAATGAATATATAGCGTATAGTGCTGCTACTACTACAACAACCATTAATAAACCTTTATACATCTTAATGCCGTTCGTATAACATTATAATGATAAAAACATTTAGGGCATCATCTCCTCATCTCATTTTTTACTATCATCTCATTACCAATCTCCTCAATGCAAGCATCATTTTATGATAGTAACAATATAACGGGACATACTGTAATGTGTTTTTAATTCTTTAGGTATATTATTAATTTTATGATATTTTCAAATGTCCCTTGACCTTCTTCTCTAGCTGGGCGCCAAGATACCTCTTAATCTCAATCTGATTTTTTTTAGTTCTTCCTGGATTTCAACAAAATTATGTTTTGTTCAGTTTAAGTTAATACATGCTGTAAATCAAAAACCTGCTCCTTTTGTCTAAAGATGTCTTTTGTAAACAGTTACCGTCAAGTTACCAAGTTAATATGGTTAAAAAATCTAAGATGCAGGCAGACAAAGCTGAGGAGGTATAGCGATCAAATAGCGGTCGTCCTTTGACCGCAATCCCCTGGCCAGTTAGTGTACGTGTCATTAGCTGCATAGCATGTGTGCAAGTGTGTTACTCAGTTTGGTCGAGCACACTATGGCTGTCACCTTGTTGCCTGATAGTGATAGGTCAGGGACTTTAACTTAAACAAGCATGGTTCATTTAGAGTAAGGGTTAGTATGTCCCAGCTGATTGTGGATCGGAATGGTGGATCCTGATCATGGATGATGGTGATTGATTGTGACCGTAGCAGCTGATCATGGACCATGATTACAACAAGACTGCTTGATATATAGAATATACAAATCACATTCAAAGATTCAAAGATATTTATTGTCAAATACACAGAGAACACACGTTTCCCTGTGAATTGAAATTCTTGTGCTGTCCTTTTGGAATAACGACCAAAATTTACATTAGAATACAATATTTACATAAAATACAATAAGGATATGAACATGTTAAAAGTAAGGCAGAAACAAGGCGAATGAGGTGAATAAAGTGAGGATTGTTCAAAACTGAGCAGTGCAAATTGAACAGTAACAGTGAAAAATTAAATAAAATGTATATAATATAAATGTAAACAGTACAAATGGAATACTTTATGTTAAAGTGCAGACCAGTGTTGCAGTTTGTGAGGTAGGTTGTTGACTCCTGTCTGTTTAGGAGTCTAATGGCAGTGGGGAAGAAAGAGTTTTTGAGTCTGGTATGACGTGTTCCCACACAGCAGACTTAAATCATGAGGGAGGGTCTTCACATTGTGTGTCTGAGGTCACTATGACCACGAGCCTACAGCACATCGCTAAAGTTGTCCCTCGGAATTTGAGACCCATACGCACAAAAATAAGTTCCGCACGTGGATTCGCTGCATGCCACTGAAGTACGAAGTATGTATGTTTTTTTGATACATGTACCGTTACACCCCTATATGTTAGTGTAGTATTTATACAAGATACCAGCCTCTTGCATTTTCACTGTTGTGCGTTGGAAAAATGATGTGTATTCTTAAAATCTTTTAGATTAGGCCTTTTCATGCCTCCCGCCAGCGATAGCCAGTGTCCGGAAGCATTATATTTTCGGGTGGTCCCATTCTCCTGAACACAATATCTCAAGAATGCCTTGAGGGAATTTCTTCATATTTTGTACAAATATTTACTTGGACTCAGAATCGACTGCCTTGATTTTGTTAGACAAAGGTCATGGTGGTCTCTTAAAGTATGTTCGTGTTTTTCTTGAATGCGATATCTTAGGATCAGCTTGAGGGAATGTGTTCAAATTTGGTACAAATATTCACTTTGACTCATGGATGACCTGATTAGACTTTGTTGGTCAAAGGTCACTCTGACCTCTAAAACACGTTTTTCCTTGTGAATGTAATATCTCAGGAACATCTCAATGGAATTATTTTAAGTTTGGTGCACATTTTCAATTGGACTCACTTATTAGGTGGTCAGACGTCACGGTGGCCTCAAAAAAAATGTTTTGGTCTCCTGAATGTGATCTCAAGACTGCTTGAATAAATTTCTTGAACTTCTGATCAGTTGTCACTTGGACTCAAAGATGAAGTGATTACATTTCAGTGGTCAAAGGTAAAGGTCACAATGACCTTATATGAATCTGGGAAATGTGTACATGGAAACTGCACTGCTTGGCGGAGGCATCCAATCACTTGATGCTTAGATGTAAATGCTTACATAATGCAAATGCCGATGCACTCCTTCTTTACGTTTTGTAGTGTGTATGTGTTCATGGCAGAGGACACTGCATCAACTGGTCCTAAGACGCTCTTTTACACGTTACCTTGTGTTTCCAGGGATTTGTTTGAACAGCTGTCAGAGATGGAGCGATCTGGAGCCAGCAGCACTTCAGAGGCAGGAAGAAACATCCTGCAGCCCCTCTGAACACTACGTCTTTGGACAAGCAACCACACACACACACATCCACCACTGAACTGTGCTAGATAGATGGAGCTCTCCTCTGAACAACCTTTAGTACTACTGATTGCCGTCCTTTTTTGGTCATCTTCAGGCACTTCTACAAATCACTAAATGCCAGGCTCAGTTAGCACCTGTAAATGCCAACACACGTGCTAATCTGACAAGACTCTTCAAGATACCAGAAATGCAGTTCAAATGTTCAGTGGATCAAAAGTTTGCCTCTGTGTTTTTGGGGCTGAAGTTTTTCTTTGCTATTTTATCAACCAACTGTTTTGTAAAGTTTCTTTTTTTTTCTTTTTCTTGATATACTTCTTTAAACTTTAATGCCATTCATTCAGACTTTGACTTTAAAATCAACTATCAAACACCAGATGCTACTGGTGCTTCATGAATTTTGTTTTGCAGGCCCTCTATTTCCGATATAAACTAAATAAAGATATATTCTATGTTGGACTATAAGCTATTATAGAGTTAAAGGGTTGTTGTATTTAGCGGGAACATTTGGTGCAATATTTATGTTGTGGCACAAATTGGCCAATTCAAATCAGCTTTCTGTCAGAGTGTGTGGATGTTTTGCGTTTCTTTCTGTGCTTGACTTCTAAGCTAAGTTTTGTGTGTGGCTGTCTCCATATTTTACATACCCAAAATCAAATCAATGAGCTCAGTTACATGGCCTGTATTTACTGAGCTTTTCTCAGTAAAACCCACTTGATTCTTTTTGGGTTTCTGACCTTGTGCCTCCCAAGAAAACTTTTATAAATATGTATACAAGCTTTACTTTGAAAGTTGCACAACCTTGTTGCTTTGAATATGTTTGTCAAAACTCAATGTGTAAGTCAGATCTTTCTCTATAAAAACCACCAGATTTTTCTATTTATTGTTGCCTAGGGTTGATGTATCTTCATTAACCTATCAAGTTACTCCATGACAATAGAAGACATTAATAGCAGATCACCAGGGAAGCTAGCCATAGCATCCTGTCTCTTATGCCATCATCTTGAAGGCCAGTATTCAGTACTTCACACCATAAACCTCTGCTAACCTTTCTAAGCTAGTTCCTATCAGATGTGCTTGACTATAGATTGGAGCAAATGGAAGTAGTTTGTTATTCCTGTATTGGTTTTAATACTAGACACTGGTTGTACAGCTACTTTTTGTTATCGCTGTAAAAAAAACACACACCATGGCTAATGTGCAACATTAAAACATGGTGTCTGCAGGACATATTCAGACCAAACTAAATTGTTTTCTTAACCTCATAAAAAGCATAAGAAACTACATAATATAACAAAATGTGAGTAATAAATCTTTATGGATAAATATATTGTATGAATAGTTATATTTGTAGGCATTTTATCCAGCACTATGAGCCCACTTCCTGGAATTTAGGTTATCTGTTGCACCATGGACACACCTGGATACAAGAGCCAAGAAAAGTTATAAAGAAATTGAGTTTTCTTATGTCCACTTTGAATTTGCATTTCAGAAATGTGCTGCCTTCCTCAACATCCTGTCCCAAACGCAGTGTAAAGAGGGTCAAATGTATTTGTGAAGTAAGAATGAACAGCTTTTTCTACCCTTCATACACAACTGACTCTTCCTAAAGCAGATTTTAATAAAATATTACAGTGAAAGTACACAGTTTTTTAATTTGATTTGTTGTGTTAAAACTCTTCAACAATACACAAATCCAGTGTTTCGGGATGTCCACAGAACCAGCAGCTGCATGTTTCAGTCCTTCAAGAAACAGTAGCAACAAATGTATGTTGTGAACAGATTGTCAGGACAGTAAATTAAACAGTCTTATCTGGTTACATGACCGTGTACAAGCAACATGAAGCACCATCGTACACAAAGTGGAGTGTTAAACTGAAGGTAGTCGGTGGTGGTCACTGTCATCTATAGTGATCACATGTCTTCATCAGTGGCTGCAGATGACGTCCTGTGAGTCTGTTGTACTCAGTGAGAATGTAGCTTTCCCTCTGCAGCATCTGCAAACACATTGAAATTAAAATGCATGACTCCTCTGTGGTGATAAACTAATCTTTGCTATCTGAGCAGAGTCATTCAAACGTGTTGAGTTTTCTATGTCAGACTGATCAAATTGCATTTGAGCAATTGATAGAAAATGGATTATTTAAAGCAACTTTTAATCTGTTTTATGTTCTTTTGATTAACATTTTAGCTTAAATTTGCCTCAGTAAACCTAAATTCCACTCACTCTACTGCATTGGGGTGAAGGAAGTAATCTCAGATACATATTTGTCCAAATCTGTACACATAAAATGCCATAAGACTTTCCTGACGTGAAAAACAATATTATCTGCATGGATACGTCGCAATAGAAGTGAGGAAACACATTGAGCTTTGCCATACAAACCTCAGTCCATTCTTCCTCAGTCTCATGCCTGTAGCCCAACAGGTGACAGATACCATGTGCAGTGACAACCTGAAACATACAAGAAAAAAAGAGACAATCAACTAACACCAAACAATGTCATTACCAAAGTAAAAGGTGAGGTAAGATAAGATAAGCTTGATCCCCCATAGTAGAAATGCACTTCTTACAGCAGCAACAGTCAGAATGAGGTAGACAGGAGAACATGTGAAAGCATAAAATACAATAATAAATAAAAATACAGAGAATTTGTACATTATATCTTTCACATAGAGACAGAAATAGAATTTGTAGAGCTATGTACTTGGTTTAAGTGCAGTGGCAAAGGATGTTTGCTCAAGAATTCATTAACTGTATTAATAATTTCACCGTAGTATATTAAATAGCATTAAACTACATAAAGGAAGGGAGGCTGTTCTTCCTGAGGTGCATCTGATCTTTTACCGTGCACACGAGGCTACTGGGGAAGTTTTACCAGTCTGTTGTGGCCAGTGTCCTCTTCTTTGCTGAGGTATAGGGACCTGTGGCACCAACAAACTGAACCAGCTGGTGAGGAAGGCCAGCTCTGTGGTAAGGATGGAACCGGACAGTGCAGCGGCAGCAAAGGAAAACTAAAAGCCATCATGGATAACCCCTCTCATCCCCTCTGTGCCTAACTGAGGCAGTTCAGGAGCCTGTTCAGACACAGATTCATCCAGCCACATCCATCAAATCACTCGAAGGCCATCTTTGTGCCATCAGCCATGAGATTGCACAGGGTCACAGCACCCATAGTCCACCATTTAAATGTGTGGTCCAAGAAGGACTACTGCGTGTGTGTACACTGTGTATTAAAAAGACTTGCAATAGTACACAACCTGAATATTTGTCTTTGTATTGCACATTGGAAAAACAACCTTGAGTATAATGTAGTATTTCCATTTGTATTCTTATTTTTACTCATACTTTTCCCCTACTGTGTCAATTGTGAATTTCCTCCTCAACCTTTAAAGACTCCAATTGCTGTTAAATACTCCTTCTTTACTCTCATCAACAACCATTCGAGTTGACAGATGTCTGTCCAGCCTTCAGCTACTCACAGTGAGAGCATCGTGAAGATCCAGAGACTCCTCCTGACACTGCTTCATCACAAACTCGACCCCCAGGAAAATGTCCCCCAGGTTCAGCTCATCTCTGCTAACAGGACAGGGCAGTTTACCAGGTCGCAGGTCCTAAGAACACACACACACGGATCTCATGTCAGTGAAAGCAGCTGGAAGTCTGAATGAATGAATGAGTCCCTGGCACAACAATGCGGGCACGTTCACCTCGTAGAACGGGAACGAGAGGACATCCGTGGGGACGTTTTTCTTCCTGTAGATGTGATTGATTTGCTGGATCCTGTGGTTATCCACGCAGACGATGCCCACATCAAACTTCTGGACGCCCAGGATGTGCCTCAGTGTGTCCACATCCCTGCGCAGCCTGGCGCGGCGGAGAGACACCACCTTTTGGAGGTTCCGAAGAACTACTCCCATTTTTAAAAATCCGCGTTAAAACACCGTGCAGCTGCTAACAAGTGCGGTGACATGAGGACATGTGAAAACCAAGCAGCCCCCCCCGATGACAGCCAGTTTAAATGAGGCGTGTGTTGTCGTTAGCTTTGCGTTAGCCGCGACCGTTCGAACCGTTCCGAGCAGGCGGAATTCAAGGTGACACGTCGCGGCGGTGTCCTCATGTAGTTCGCTGCAACCGGCCGTGTGCGCTTGGTCCTGCTTGTTTGGATGTGACAGTGTAGCTGCGAGGGATTAAGCATTTCCTGTCATTCAAAGAAGTGGCCGCCTGGTCGGGTGAAAACCTCCTCGGTGAACGAAACGGTCGCGATCGGTGAACGCGGAACGGAGTTTAGCTAGGAGAGGGGACCAGGGAAACGGTCGGACCGCCGGATGTGGGAAAATGTGTTCGAACTGAGGCAGGAAACAACACAGCAGGATTAAAGTGTGTTCGGTGAGTTTGTCTTTCACATCGACACCGCACATTCTGTGTCTTTTTAAACATTTGTGTAAATTCAGCGTCTTTAAGGACAGCAGCTAAGCTAACATTATTGTAAACAATGATTGTAAATGTTAGCTTATGCTAGCGATCGAGCCATGCATTTATACTCGTTTCTGTCTTCATAGAGTTGTGCTGTCTTGGGTGTTATACTTCAGATCGTGGGGGACTGGCAACGTCTTACAGATTTGCTTCAATGTCCAGATGAGCAACTTCTTCAACGAGTAACCAAGGATTAGACATCGGTGGATATTTGCGCCATGAATCCGTCCAATCCGTTTGGGAGTCCTCAAGGTGGAGCTTTCCAAGCCCCTAGCAACACTATGAAGACTGGCTTGTTCCCATCATTTGGACAGCAGAGCTCCAACAATCAGCCACAGGGTTTTTTTCAACCATCAGCTTTTGGTCAGCCTTCTGTCTTGAATCAGCCCTCACCTCATGGAAACACGGTGTTTGGACAGGCCCCAGCCTTTGGACAGACGTCTGCACAGCCTTCCTCCTTGTCCACAATAAGCCAGGCTCCAGCGTTTGGACAGATGTCTGCACAGCCTTCCTCTATGTCCACCATAAGCCAGAATCCAGCGTTTGGACAGATGTCTGCACAGCCTTCCTCTTTGTCCACAATAAGCCAGGCTCCAGCGTTTGGACAGATGTCTGCACAGCCTTCCTCCTTGTCCACAATAAGCCAAGCTCCAGCATTTGGACAGATGTCTGCACAGCCTTCCTCCTTGTCCACAATAAGCAAGGCTCCAGCATTTGGACAGATGTCTGCACAGCCTTCCTCCTTGTCCACAATAAGCCAGGCTCTAGCATTTGGACAGATGTCTGCACAGCCTTCTTCTTTGCCCACAGTAAGCCAGGCTCCAGTGTTTGGACAGATGTCTGCACAGCCTCCTTCTTTGCCCACAGTAAGCCAGGCTCCAGCGTTTGGACAGACATCTGCACAGTCTTCCTCTTTGTCCACAGTAAGCCAGGCTCCAGCTTTTGGACAGACGTCTGCAAAGCCTTCCTCTTTGCCCACAGTAAGCCAGGCTCCAGCATTTGGACAGACGTCATTAGGAATGAGTAGCTCAGGCTTTGGGAGAGCCTCAGCACCAGCTTTTGGACAGACCAGTGGACCGAACCAAAGTTCAGTGTTTGGGCAGATGCCAGCATTCGGGCAGACTTCTGCATTTGGTCAAGCAGCAGGATTTAGCCAGCAGGCCCCAGGGTTCGGCCAACAGCCGCCTGGATTTGGAAAGTCCCAAATGGCCTCTGGATCCACCACTGCCTCAGGGCAACCTCAGCCACTTGCATTTGGGCAGTCTGCTTTTGGGCAGCCTACTTCTACCAGTGTCACCACTACTGTATTTGGCACAGGTCAGAGTGTGACCCAGAGCAAAACCTTTGGACCATCTGAGTTCAGTTTCAAGCCCGCCAATGAGGCCCTCTTCAAACCTATCTTCAGTGCCAGCCCTGAGCCTACTAACCCTCAAACCACATCCATGTCCAGCTCACCGTTTGGCAGCAGTGGGAACCAGACAAGCTCCAGCAGCACCACCACTCTGTTGACAAGTTCGAAGTCTGGGCCACTGGGCTTCAGCTTCTCACAGCCTGCTGCAGCCCCCTCTGTCTCTGCTCAAAACAATCCACTAACAACTAGCAATACCAGTGGCCCTACAAATACTCTGCAGTTCACCTTCTCCCAGCCAGCCCCTCCTTCCAGTTCAAGCACCACCAAGGCGTCTACGACCGAGCCCACCACCCCATCTTCTTTCAGCTTTTCAGTTAAGCCCCCCCAGCCACAGACAACACCTCTTTTTGGAGGAAGCGGTTTTGGTCAGCGCCCAGATTTTGGTGACACCCAAGGTCAAGCAGAGACCAGCACAGATGCAAAAAGGAACAATCTTGAGGCCTTAGGGGAAACAAATATATTTGCAAGACTTGGCAAAGCCACAAAGCGCAAGGAGGATCCAGTGGTCCACAGCCGTGGCCTCGAGAAGCCTGACACTGAGGAGGATGTTCCAGCAGAATCAGATTTACCGAGACACCCCTCAAAGAGGCCCCTAATGAGGTCCCGTGGCCCACTGGGAGGCTTATTCGGTAGGGCACTAAGTGGTCTCCGTAAAGAAGGCACTAACACAGTAAGGCGAGAGGCCATAAAGGAGACTAAGCAGGAGGCACTGAGGTGGGAGGAGACAGAAAAGGAAGATGTCCAAGGACAGGATGACAACCTGGCTGCTACACCACCCGCTGGACCAGCCCTCTCCAGGGATGTGCTGGACAAAGCTGAGGAGTCAGGTGAGATGTATAAAGCATTCATACCATGTGCTGCTAATAGATGCACTGTATGAATGTGTGTGTGAATGGGTGAATGTACTGTACTGTAAAGAGCTTAGAGTGGTCAGCAAGACTAGAAAAGCGCTAAATAAATACAAACCATTTATGTGTTAATCTGCCTTTTGTATCAAGGTGTGATAATGAATGAGTTTTACAGTGAGTTTTTTAATGACAAACTTTAAACTGCTGAAGTAGCATTGGAAGTCTGCCACACCTGAGGAAAAAAATCTTCAAATATGATTTGAAATTTTATATTTGATGATTATTTGTTTGCATCATCAAATACGCATGTATTTATTAGGGTTTATGTGACCCTCTTCTAAAAACAACAGAATAAGCTTTGGTTTTAATGAACAAACCCAGTTAGAAATCTTCATTCTGTTCAATTTCAAGTGCATATCTTAAATAACTTATATATGTCGCCTACATCATTGAAATATTCTCATCCTGTCGTCTTCCTATTACCTATTATCTTTGCTTAGAATCTGCAAAAGCTGCTGACCCTCAGCTCCAAGCTGTCACCCCTGTGAAACGTGGTGTGCGCAGGGAGAGCTCTGAGAGCCTCAGCGGCATGTCTCCCACTGACTGCACCTCCATCCAGTGCAGGAACGTTCCTCAAGGCCTGAACAAAAAGGACATAATCGAGAAACACTTTGGTCGTTTCGGCAAAGTCTCCAAGGTTTTTTGTCGACCTACCAAGAACCTGGCCATCGTGCACTTTGAAGACCATGTGAGTTAAATTCATGCCACAAACTCTCCATAGAGCATGTTCACCTTAATTTACCTGACCTTTTAACTAGCTGTTCATGATAACCATTGTCACAATCTGGTCCTCAGCTACCTTTATTTTCTTAGCACGCCTAATTTGAAGTGTATTATTAATTTGTTACTCATAGTGTCAGCTAAGCACCATGCTTAAAACCCCCCAAATCTTTTGCATGTTTGATTGAGTCTTAATTAACCACTAACAAGCAGGGATAATCCCAAAAGTTAGCTTGATTAATTTACCAATCCTGGATTGTCAAATGTGACGATGAGAAAGGCCATACATGCTGTAAATATGAAGTTTCTTTTTCTTTTTTTCTTTTCAGGCATCAGCAGCAAAGGCCAAGAAGAAAGGCAAGATCCTTCATCGACATGAACTCTTGCTCTTGTGGCAGAGAAAGAAACAGAGTAAGTACAACGTATTTCTATGAAAGCTCAATTAATAGCAGCCAACAGTCACAGTTCTGCTGGATTGATTTTAGACAATATATTAAACAAGATTGTTATCATTGAGTCTTTATCACGAGATTTCATACCACCTTTAATTCCTTGCTGCAAATTAAGGTCCAGGGGAGAAAGGAAGCAGACCTGCAGCAGGAAATGTGGAGGCACAGGGAGAAAGCCAGGAGGACACAGAGTCCAGAGCTGCTTCCTCGCCCATCAGAAGACCTCCACTCAGAGCTCCTGCAGTCAGCAAGTCCTTGACCTTTAGCCGCAGGTATGAAAGTGTTTGTTATTGGCTTTAAAAGCTTTCATGTATTTGGTCCAGACCAACTGACATCCTCAAAATATGTCAGCTCCCCAGTGAAGAAGTCAACATTGGCCAAGCAGTTTGATGTTGAACCCAAGATAGAAGTCAGCGTAGAGTCCCAGAGCTCAGAGCGCCCAGTGCCCTCCTCCCTCCTTCACCTCATTGACCAGGTGGCAGAGAGCGCTGAGGAAAAGTACCGCCTCCTGGAGCAACGAGACAAGGTCCTACGTCAAGGTGAAGCTACCCCTCGCATCAGTTTAATGCCGCCGTCAACATGGTTTTGAAACACGAACATCATTTTAATTGTGCAGTTTATGGTACAGGTCGGCCCAAGCGAACAGACCTGGACCTGTCCAAGGTGTTTGTGGGGTCATGTCCTGACATGTGTCCAGAAAAGGAGAGGTACATGAGAGAGACACGGAACCAGCTGAGCATATTCGAGGTCGTCCCAGACACAGAGATGGTAATGTGTTTGAGCCTACTTTTTCACATTTAGACTGAAGAATGTAGGTTTTTTCAGCTGAGACAGTCCAGTAAGATTTGCCATAATGGCTCTGGTTTCTTTTGGACACTTTTTCTTTGTAATCTGCTGAAGATTTTTTGCAGCATATGTCAATTATTCTCTATTTAAACTTGGGAAGGCAAAATAAACAAGCACCTAGAGACACATATTTTTAAAATCATTCTAGCATTTATAACCTAGTCATAAGTAATTGGTAATATCACATTGTTGGTATGGCTGTTTTACAGGTACATGGTATGTATAAGTACATATTTCAGGTCAAAGAATAAAGGCAATTGGTGTTTTTACAAATGAGAGCTTACATGTACTTTGAAAACAGGAGGACACAGTAACCAAAAAGTAAACCGTCTTCTCCTGTCCCCAACTAGGTGTGTCACGCTGCAGCAATCAAAGAGTACAGTCGCTCATCAGCCGACCAGGAGGAGCCCCTGCCTCATGACTTGCGCCCCCTACCTGTGCTCAGCATGACCATGGACTATCTGGTGACTCAGATCATGGACCAGGGCGCTGACAACTACCGCGACTGGTACGACTTTGTCTGGAACAGGACCCGTGGCATCCGTAAGGTAAAGAACTGCTTCATATTTAACCATTGAATGGTAAACAAAATTACTGAGCCCTGCTGCTTTCTACACCCACCTCAAGCTACTGTGTTATCTCCATCAATTCATCAGTTTACCATAAACAATCTTTTACTGTTTTATTTATATAAGAAATCAATGTGCAAAAGGCTTTTCTTGCTGATTATGAGTCTGAAGAATTGATTTTCATCTTAAAACTTCAGATAAGTTTCAAAAAGCATCAACTCCAGACACACTTCTGTTTTGGGGAAACTTGTAGTTGCAGTAATGTGTATTGTTCTTGGTGTTCATGTAATTCTGAATATATGAAGTTGTACTATCAACTCTTCCTTACGCACAATAATGTATGTGTAAGGGCAAACCCGTTGTTCCACCACACTTCCTGGCACCAGTTGTGATATCCGCAGGGGTTTAAACGCAACATATTGATTCATTTCTCTGTCATACCCACAGGACATCATCCAGCAGCACCTGTGCTGCCCACACACAGTGTCACTGATTGAAAAGTGCACGCGCTTCCATGTGCACTGCGCCCACCATCTCTGTGAGGAGCATATGTCGTCGTTCGATGCCAAGATCAACAACGAGAACATGACAAAATGCCTGCAGAGTCTAAAAGAGATGTATCAGGACTTAGCAACACGTCAAATCTACTGCCCCTGCGAGGCAGAGTTCCGCCAGTACAACGTGCTGCTGAGGCTGGATGATGGCGACATCCTGCGGTCAGTCATGAAAACATACAAACGCATGGATGATTAAATAATAATAATCATTAATTGTTCGTAATATGTTTGTGAGGTGTGTCTACGTTTAGATAATTAACTGACAATTTTCGGATTTTATGAATGTCCTTTGACTCATGAGATGTTCTGTTGCTTTTCATATTACACTAATGAACATTGTCCTCCCGCTTCATGTCACACAGTGAGGTGCAGCAGTTCCGCGATGACGTGCGTAACTCGCCTGAGGTGAAGTTTGCAGTTCATGCGTTCGCTGCAGTCAACAGCAACAACTTTGTGCGCTTCTTCAAGCTGGTGAAAGGAGCCTCGTACCTCGCCAGCTGCCTCCTACACAGATATTTCAATCAGGTCACAAACTATTTTCTTTCACCAATGAATGAGATGGAGAAAATCATGAACCTGTGACTTGTGTTTTCTTAGTGTTCCTGAAAATTAAGTTAAAAAAATCTACACCAATCACATTGCAAATAAACTAAATAAGTTAGTACAGCTGCAAACCAAAGTAGTTTCATTGTTGATTGTTCTGCCAATGATTTGTTACATTTCTTTTGATCGAGTAATTGACTCGTCATGGCAGCATTATTACTTAGTTAGAGGTGGATTTTCAGGTTTTGTACAATTGAAACATGGTTTCAGTTGCATACGCTGCTTATTTATGGCTGTTTGCTCCACATAAAGCCGTCACTCCTGTCAGCGTAGGTGTAAGATATGTCACATGACAGAATGTTGTGTGGTCCATCAGTCCTCGTTCTTTATTCCCTTATGTCTTGTTTTCTTGTGTGTGCAGGTCAGAGCTAAGGCCTTAAAGACCCTGAGTATCGCTCACACTGTAGGTCCACGGTCCACTACATTTCCAGTTGAGGACATTACTCGGATGTTTATGTTCCTCAACACAGCAGAAGCAATTGACTTCATCCAGCAGTACGGCCTTAATGTCAATGATGGGTACGTGTCTACTGGTGATCTGATCGAGATTTTTTTGGAAATATTTAGACTGAAATACAACTGACATAAGCTCCATCATATTAGTGTGGTCACAATGCTCAAATTTTGACTTTGATACCAATACAATGTTTAGCATCATCACAGAGAGTAATGAAGGTTTGGAAAATCTTACACTGAAACATTTTTAACTTAAAAGCATCAGATAAGTAACTAAATATTTGGTATACAGTGTAACACTTCATACTAACACTCTTCTATGCGTTAATGATGAAATGGGATTTATAATAGAAGACCACATTGTGGTATCATTGGCCTATCTGCATATTCCACTGTGATTTAATAAGTAGTGTAATGCATCCTATTAACTGACAAACAGAATAAACATGAACTATTCAACATAAGTCAATGATATTGACCGTTTTGTTCACAGTATGGTTGAGCTGAGTCGGACGGCATATCAGGAGCCAGAGCTGCCTCTGTCCCAGAAGAAGTCTGAGTTCATCCTCGTAAAGAAAACAGTGTTGATTGGGGAGGTGGTGAACGGAGGCTCACTCCCTAGTCCTCCCCAGCACACCCCGGTCAGCAGCTTTGACTCCCAGAACAAGTTCCGTGGAGAGGCCCCTCTGGCTGAGCCCTCCTCAAGCCAGTTCAGAGGTACTAGGTCTATTTTACACTTGCTTACCATTAATAATACAAGTTCTTCACTGACAGTACATGCATCTGTTAAGGAAGGCACATGATGCATTGACCCAGTTAAACCACCCTCAACACCATTATTTTATCTGACCCATTTATGCTGCATTATAGAGCCACTGGTACATGAAGAATAAAACTCCTTACTTGCAGAACATCTATCATTTCTTTTTGCCTATGTCATCTTAGAATTCATTATGGGAAACAAGAACATCATCTTATCACATCAGTGTATAGGTTCAGATTCATTCATTGATTTTCTTCATTGTCTCAGCTCTCACTGCCAAGATGGAGATGAAGGCATCGCCCAGCGTTGCGTCTGTGTCCCAGGTCGGATCACGTCTCGACGCTCCCTCTGAGTGTGTGCTGCCCCCAACTGCAACAAAAGTGCAGAGTGAATCACATTTCGGGTCACCCCACCCGGCAGATGCCGAGCAGCTCTTCCAGCCGATACCCGAACCTCAGCCTGTCAAAGCACCATCTCCCCCGGCCGCACCTCAGCCTGTGTACAGCAATGAGGTGGGGAAGATCTCTGCTCCGTCTCTGAGACGTCATACTTTCAGAACAGATTCATTCTCACTGAACCTTTCCCCTCTAATCCCTGTATATCTTTATTTCAAGCTTTTGACAAATGTGTTAAGAACAGCGATATCTACTTTAAAAGTAAGGTCTGCTTACAACTCAGTTCTACAAGGCTGAGATATTTCCTGTCAAAACATGGTTACTCTGATTGACGGTGTTGGCCCTTTACACTTGAAAATGTATTGCTTCTGAAATGTTTCAATATGATGCTTTAGCTGCAAAATGTTACCCCTTCATATGTTGGAGTGGAAATCTGGAAGTCTGTCTCAGCTCATAAAGGCAAGAGTGACCTACTGACAGTCTGTGTTGCAACTGCAGGACATAATGGCTGAGCTTGAAGGTGTGATTGAAGAGGTGGTCGAAGCAGCAGTGAAGGAAGTAGCTGTCGTTGGTGCCAGCTACGCATCAACGGCTCTTGCGTAAGTGTAGACGATTTATACTCCATCCATCTTCTGTAGCAGCTTTTCCTGTGCATATGTTCAAATAACATACCTTTGAATGTATACCATGCTAACCCACTTATTACCAAGTTATTTATTTGAGAGTCTGGAGAGTGAGTGGAGATTTATTAAGTTGATTTTACTTGTTGACGTGTTTTTTTGCGGTTCTGCAGTGAGAGCAGTGTGCAGGTGGAGTCACTGGTGAGTGAGGTGTTGGGACAATTGCTCCAGGAGGTGTCCTCAACCGAGATCAAGGTGGAACAGGAGCGTGTTGCTGAAGAGAAACGCAAGCTTGAAGAAGCCAGGTTGGTCTGCTGAGCACAGCCTGATATTGACAGCTTGTTGATTGTAGCACACTGCCTTTTATTACTACCCCAGCTTGGTTAAGAAAGAGGAAAGCAGCATATAAAGTAATGTTTGTTAGTCATGTTGGTTTTTTCTTCAAAGTGTTTTTTCAGGCAGACAAAGAGTTCCATTTAGTTTGTGACCTCCATGTTTGTGCTACAGAATTTTTTTCACAAAAACTACCCACCCATATTTGGTTTTCATTTTTTCTCTGTTCCAGGAGGAGGCAGGAGCACAAGGCTTTCCTGGCTCAGTTCAGCTGCTCTATCTGCACAGAGATCATCAACGAGGTTTTAGATGAGACCATCAAGGAAACTTCCACTTCTGAGATACAGTAAGAAGTTTGAAACTCATTAAATCAAATCATTTTTTTTTTCTCAGTAATGCAAAGAGGCACAATGAAACATTTACAACTCTTTGGGCCCTGATATCAGTCAGATTGATTCAATATTGGATTATTAATGATATAATCTGCTGGTACTGAGTCCTAGATATTCAGAGCCTGTATCTGACACATCAAGATAATAGTTAATTTTGTGTTTGTTTGTAAGATCTAATGACAACAGCGTGCAGAGACACACAGACTGACAGCAGCTAAGTTAAATAAGTGGCAGCCGAATATGATTGTTATTTTAACCAACGGCAGCAATACTCAGAACCAGATCAAATTGAGAAGCTGCAGCTTTTCTACACTGATTTACTGTTGATTACTAAAATTGGAGCACAGTGAAGCTGTGATTTTCAGTTTTTTTAACCTCATTGTCTGATCTTAGTCGCTTTGCTGCACCCCAAGATTCTCGCTGGCTTATGCAGCAGAATAGTTCTTAGTTTGAGTTCTTTGCACATTTCCTCCTAAATACATGTTACTCTGTGCACACATCTAACTAAGTCTCAAATACAAGTGAAATGCTCGCACTGTAAACCTCTGCAACTTTTTTATAAAAAGCACTAAAAATGTTGATAATAAAATACTATGTGTTTCACAAGTTCTACTGAATTAAAAAAGTGTTTATTTTTCATGTTCACCTTTTTCAGGCTGGCAGTGAATGAGAAAGCAGAACGTGTGGCTAAATGCACAGAGCAGGTCTGCACCAGTCTAGTTGAGGAGACTCTGAATGCAGATATAGCTCTGATGGTTGAAGAAATCCTCGATGCTGAGCTGCAGCGTATCCACAAGTACATCAAAAGGTAAGAAACCTGACCGAATCTGGAAATGGAAATGAATACGCGACACAATACACCACACCAGGAAACTCAGATGCTTCCTTGTCTGGCCAGTGGCAGTCCAATATCAACCATCTAAGTACCACAAGTATATTGTTGTAACTCTGTTAGAATTACAATATCTTTACAGTTTACTGCATGTGTAACCTTTTTCCCCTTATCATTGCCACCAGGTGGCGTGATGTGGTCGCGGTTCGTCGTCAGCTAAAGAGACAGATGAGAGGTTTCCCTGCAGCTCCTTGCTGTGTGGACCCTCGATTCAAACTCAGGGCTCTAGCTCCCAGTGCCCCTGCACAGCCCTCCATAGAAGATCTGGCCCGTGGTCTGGTGAACCTGGGAAATGCCGGCACCTTAGCCATGTCAAGCACCAGGTATATTCATCTCCAATTTGGGCTGTTGCATATTTTTCGAATTTATAATGGATGAATTAGGATGACAGTAGACTTTGCATGTTATCTATGTTTCATGAAATGCATTTCACTTTACTGCTCCAGTAAGAATGTTTTTTTTATCTTTGTTAAGGTTATTCAGAATGAGGCAAGAAGCAATCCACCAGATGAGAGTCCACTACTACTATCAGCAGCTGCTTGAGTAAGTCTGGAGTTGGTGAGTGTGTTTATTCAGTGTGTGGCCACAAAGCAGCATTCTGACCTCTTTGTGATGTCGCTCTCAGTGAGATGGTGTGGGCGCCGCTCGACCTGCCGGCACTGGTGTCAGAAAACATCCCTGACCCACCGGAGCGAATCTATTGGAAACTCGCTCTCCTCTTACCCAGCAACCACGAGAGTGTAGCCGGCCTGGCAGACAGGTAGGCAGCTGCACTGCATTTAACATAGACTCAGCAAAGCAACAGCAGTTGTGACACGTGCATGTTTAATTTCATTTAATATCGATCTAAATTAGATTCATTTGTGATTATAGCATCAGCACCTAGTGTTCACCAAACCTTTCAATAAGCCCGTACACACCTGGTATTGTGTGTAGTGTGTACGGACGCTAAGTGTGTCCTCGCCTGTCTTCTGTATTAGAATCCTGTCAGACTGGCTGGAGGTGAAACTCGGTGGTGACAAGGCGTCAGAGGTCGGGGAGGAGCAGCCTGATGGCACTCTGCAGACCCTGTGTGTCACCAACACACTGCAGGAGAGAGGACAACACACTCACAAAGTCCACATCAGCATCAAGGTTAGATCAGATTTTTAATTTACATAGAGGACTGAAGTCAGATGCTAAAAAGACGATGTGTGTATAAATAATAATGAAGAGTAAACGATAATTAGAAAAAGAAATATCAAGGGTATGAATTCAAAGAACTGTTATTAAGGTAAACTGTGTTCTAGACTGTAATTATTTGTCTGTTATCAAGTGAGATATGATTTACCCTGCCTTGGCACTATGTAACCACCCCTCTTGTTTTCGTGGCCCAGGCGTCCCGAGGCCCACTGACTGAAGACAGCCTGTCTAAGATGGAGGAGAGCTGCGAGCTCTGTGGGACAGGAGCTCTGATCATGTTGCTCCCTGCCATGCCCGCCATCGAGCCGGGGCAGGACGAGCAGGATGTACCTCTGCTGTCAGCTCTGCTTCAGCTTAAACAGCTACAACAAGCCAGCACATGGCATTGCCCACTGCCTCTGGTCATTCTGGTGCCAGGACCTGATGGTGGCGCTGGTGATACACAGAAACTTGTAGAAGGTAATGATCAGTAAAAACGGCATAAATGCATGTTTGTTACAATCTAAGATTGAAATAATAGTCTGTTGAAACAAAACTTTAGATAGTCAATGAGGCATGTCAGGCAGTTTTAATGAAACTAGCTGAATTTATCTGTGTGAAATAATCCTGATCACTTTCTCTCATGGTGCCTTGTGCCTCAGCCCTGATGCTGCACACGATGGTCATGGAAGGACTGATATCAGAGTACACGTTCTTCTTCATACCAGAGACCACAAGTGACGTCCAGGGATCCAAACAGGTAGTGCAAATATACTTATACCCACACATACACAAAGACGTAGTAAGAAATAAATATACTTGTACTGCCCCTGCTCATTCTTTGCTCTCCTCTCCTTCGTCTATTTCTTCTATCTCTTCTCTTTTCATGTCCTCTCCCCACCTTTCTTCAGCATGTTTTCAGTCTCCCTCCCTGCCCGTTTTTTTCTTCCCATTTCATTTTTATCCTTAAAGCGAAGTATGTGTAAGTGTCATTTCAGCTCAATACTATTAAAATCAAAATGATAAGCTGAAGTAAACATACACGTAAATGCAGCTCGGTGATTAGCTGCACTAGAAGCATTATCTCCTCCTCTATGGCTCACCTTGTTGTTCCAATCCTTAGCTAGCTTCCTCTCTTCTATCTTGCTCCTCCGTTATTTCAGCTCTTGCGTTTTTTGCTGATCCAGTCTGGTGCTGGAAGCTCACACTTGAAGTGAACAATTATTTAAGATGAACAATTTGAGGGGAACATTACTATTTGATGCTCACTTTTAACATGTTACAGTTATTTTTTAATGACTTATGAACCTTCTTCGTCTTTTTGTGTGTTTCTAGCTAAGCCACTCTCTGCGTTGGTTGCTGGCCCGTGCTCCACCATCCCACCCCCTGTCCTGCCAGACCCTCGTGCAGCTTGTAGAGTCCAGTTTGAGTCGTGAGTTCACTCCCAGAGTTCACGGCCACCGTCAGGAACGAGGCGCCGCACGTCTTCCTTCCCAGGACCCCGTACCCATCATCCAGCTGTACAATGCCATCCTGGCTCACATTGCTGACGCAGTATCATCGCAGGATCTCAGCAAACTCTCGTGGCCACCGGGCGAGTTCTGCCTGCCTGAAACCCGAGATTTTGTTCCTCACCTGGGCTGGAACTCAGCGCAGCACCTGGCATGGCTGCGCAAAGCCATCCTCAGCCTGCAGCTGCCACAGTGGGAGCAGCTTTCGGCCACCGGTGAGTGATTGAGACGAAGGCTATTTCTTAACTTTGGAGTTTGCATGAATATTTTCAAAAGAAAGAAACCAATAATCCGCTTATTGTGCTTGCTTATCGCTTCCTTTCTCTAGACTCATGGTGTGAACTCTGCTCCTCCATCTATTGCTACGCTGCTCAGATCCCAGTCTCATGTCGCAGTCAGCCTCTTCTAATGTCACGACTGGAAAACCTTCTGGAAAGGGTCAGGCTAAAGGGTCACCGTACCCGAGCCAACAGATCCGAGGCAGCCATGGGAAGCTGGGGCAATGGAGATGGCAGTGTGTTTACAGCCTATAGTCAGATCCCTTGGGACGACGTGCTGGTGATTTGCATTGACCACAAGCTGAAAGATTGGCAGTTACCCGGGCCACCTGCCTGTGAAGGTGAGGGCATTCTTCTGGAAAGTTGTCAAGAATCAACACAGACTTTTAACTGTGCTTGAAGAGTGTGTATGACTTGCAATATAACTTACTGACTGTTTTTTCATTGAAGATGCTGTGACAGAGGAAGGAGAGATCCTGATTTACTTCCTCACAGAATCACTGAAGGGTTTCCAGCCCCCTGAGGAGTGGACCCAGGCCACCAGACAAACACACAGGGAGAAGCAGCAGCAGGAGGAGAGAGGGTATTGAACTCCTCAGTTCAAGCTACTTCTGCAACATTTTATCATTTGGATGAGATATAGTTGTTGTGGAGTAACTGACATCTGTTACTGACAACAGCTCCTACTATTACTCCCTGTGGTCTCTATTCTGAGTTAAACTGTTAAGGTCATCAACGTTAGGCAAATATTGCACGAGGTGTTGAGGGAAAACTCACCAGTGTGTGCACATGAAGTATGAGCTGTTGTGTCAAATAAAGCAACATGTTGGATCTGCTGTATTCTCTTAAAGAAGTTAATTAGAGGCTGATATGTGCTGATAATTTACACTGTTGTCTCAAAAGCTGCATCTCATAACTTTTACATCCTTTCCCTCAAGTTCGAATGAGACATAACGAAGGGTGGACATAGTTTTTACACTTAGCACAAGTTTAAATTGCATGATAATGTTGCATTTACTGTTTCATATTAGCCCTACTTTGCAATTTGCCTTTTGTCAACGTTTGTCCCTGTCTCCATCCTCCTCCATCCTTATCCTCCCTCTTCTGTTGTCAGGGCAAGTGCAGCTGCGTGTGCCTCACCCACCAGTCTGTCCCTCAGACAGAGGTTGTTCCACAGTTTTGCGGAGCCGCCCGAGGCCCCGGCAGCCTCATTGGACATCACACACACTCCCACAACACAAGAGCTGCTGGCCCACAAAGTCCTGCAGAGTTTAGAGGAGGAGAAGGCTGAAAGCAAGAGGTACAGCCACAGCTTTTCTGGAGGTGTTATGGTTATACTCTATATCATTTTCCCTATATACAGTATTGAAATGTAGGGATGAAAACTGAATGATAAACTTTGGAACAGTGTGAGATTTTTCTTACTTCCTTCTTAAGAAATAGTAAATAGTAATTAAATTTTGCATGACACTTCTTATTTGCCAGAAGTAATCTACAATATGTACGCCTAACATACTACTGTGTCTTTACAGGAGTATGGAGCAGCTTCAGCGTTGGCTGGATGGCGACCCCTTGGACCATTTGTCCACACCGCTCTTCATTCCATCCTCCACCCTGCTATCCATGCCCACAACTATAATTCACGCCCCCACAGCCAAGACGAGAGATGCCACACAGGTACGACATCACTTCTCCTTCAGTGATTCAGGGTCATTTCTTCAAGTACTTATTAAGAAGAAGGAAAGTTTGACTTACTTAACAGATATTTATGCATTAAATATTAAGTTTGTGTCAGATTATCTATACCGCTGTGCCGATGACAGCCAGTGGCCAGAGCCATTTTGTTTTTTACGTTGTCTGTCCTTCCGTCCCTTTATTGTGAACACGATATATCTCAAGAACACCTTGAGGGAATTTCTTCAAATTTGGCTCAAACGTTCATTTGGACTCTCAGATGAATTGGTTAGATTTGGGTGGTAATAGGTCAATGTCAGGGTGGCCTCTCAAAACATGTTTTTACCCCTTGGAACTTGGTGATATTAAAACTTGAGACTGAAACTACACTGGTTGATGGAGGCATACAGATGCAGTGTAGTATATATTGTTCTAACACATGGCTGTGAATTATATATTTGCAAGTACATATTGCAGTAATTATACATGTTCATTGTCTTGACCTTTCAGGAGCCTGATGACCGGTTGGAGAATGCAGGCTGGCCGAGAACCATTCCTGTGTCTATGGCATGGCGACTGAAAGAGCTCGAGCGGCAGATTTTAGCGAGCCGAGAGGAAGAGCTGGCCTGCGGACTGAAGCTGAGCGGTCTGCTGAGCATTGTCGATGACTAACGGACTGTTGCTGCAGAAATATCATCACAGCTACACAAATGTTTGGAAAGTCAGGACACATAGGCCTTTCGCCTCCAAAGACAAACTACTTTGTGTTTGCTGAGCTCATGCTGAGTCTCTGGGTTCACATTTCTGTGAATTTTTCATCTGATAGTCTGTTGAGGACAAATTCACTGATTGCAGCCATTCGTCTTTGTTAAGGTGTGGGTATTTGCAAGTAGAGAATAAAACTAAGGTTTTTATTTTGTACCAGTAGTTTAGCATAATTAAATAGCATCTAACTGCGTGTTGTTTTTTACATAAACTTGATAAGACGCTGATTCCAGATGAGTGTAATATTTTTTTTGTCTGTGTGTAAATCAAGTTGAAGCACTTGTTGTCCTTGTACAGTGAATGGCTTCTGTTTGACCTTTTGACGGATGAAATGTTCGATTAATCAAATAAAAGTTAGTTTTCATGTAAATTGCCCTTTTAGTCTAGTCATCATTCTGATGCTCTCATTGGCTGATCATCGTCAATATGCGAGCACGTGTAGTATTTCTCGTAGCAGTTGCTCTGATTGGTGGAGCTCTCTGCAGGCCCGCCTCTTTCCCCGCCCAGTCGGTGCGTGATTGGACAGCTGAGTCTCTGCTCATGTCTCTCCATTTGGAGAGCTCCTCGGAAGGCACCGCAGTGTCCTCTGGGAGATGTAGTGTGAGGTGTACTGAAGAATGAAGAGTGGTTTCTTTCAGAGGACTACAGCTCCCAGGTAAAGAGCAGGAGGGGCAGAACTCAGGAGTACAGAACCTCACTCTGTTCAGCGGTGGCTTCATCTGTGTATCACAGCCATGACTGAGGGGACGTAAGTATATCCTTTTACACACACTCTGTGGATATATAGATATAATATAGATATAATATAGATATAACATAGATAATGGAATGAAGATGACGAAAACATCAAATGTATTAAGGCTTGTGTCACAGTCATCAAACATATTTGGGTTGGTTTCAGAACCCAGCGGTTTTTAATGAGCTTGTAATTTATTAACATGGTTAAAAACTTGTAATAGCAGTTATTTTGTCACTTGTAAATGGTTTAATTGTAAAACAAAGTCTGTATGGTAAATGCTCTGTACTTGTCTAGTCTTGATGACCACTCACAGCACTTTGCAGTACACTTTTTTTGCCATTCACACACATTGATACAGGGCAGCACATTTTTTTTATGCCAGGTTCAATTTCGGGTTCAGTGTGTTGCTCAAGGACTCTTCAGATGGAATCGAACCGCCGACCCTCCCGTTAGAGGACGATCCGCTCTACCCTCTGAGACACTGAGTTTTAATAAGAGTGACTTTCTGAAAACAAGCAACGGAGTCACCTCAGTTATTGGTTTGATTCGTACCCACTTTTTGTGCAAGTTGTGCACATGGAGCTAGAATGGAAGTCAGAAGAGCACAGGCCTCCGCTAAGGCCCAACCGGCTCCTTCTGAAAGCACGTTTAAATTCACTAGATCTGGAGTTTTATTGCTGTTCCAAATTGCACACATTTATAAATATCAGTCCCCTTAATGTGCCTGTTTTTTTTAAATCAAGATCTATGAATTATTCACTGAGAAATCAGGGGAAACCTTGATCAACTACCTATCTAGGATTGTTAAAGAAAGTGAAAATGGATAAGAAATGGATTGCGTTCTACTCTAACCTTTACCACATCCTTTCTCCACATTTTGTGGTCATCAATTTTGCGTGGTTTGTTTTCACATCATCTTGCATACATCCAGACAAAAGAACAAACAAATGGATATGGGTGAAACGTCCTTTGCAGAAGAACTAGACCATTCAATTACCAGCTGTCTTATCCAGGCACTTGCGGAGGCGAGGGGGGCCGTACAGGACAGATCCTGCCACAGACCTGAGCCGCTGGAGGCTGACTAATGTTGAGGGCAGACAGACCTGGCGCTATGAGGAGGATCAGGAAACCCCAGACAGAGAGCAGACCATGCTGGAGGCTCACTCACTAGGCATAGACACGGTGGGTTTACGTTTTTTTATTTTCATAAGAGTAAAGTTTGTATCTCCTGTCTTCCTCACCTTCACAGAACAGGTGTCGAGTCAATGAGGTTTTTTATAATCACAAATTAGTGCCAGCAGTTTTAGACCTGCAGTTCTACGTGATCTGCTGAATAGGACGGTCAAGGCTCAACACTTACTCTTTGGTATCTGCTATGTAGAGATAAAATGGTTTGTTGCATCAGTTGTCCTGA